GCATCATTCAATTGCTCGCATAAATGTATGTCTTTCTGAACGCTTGGCGCAGACATTACATTGAGACGATATCTGGCTGAGCTGATTCATCTGGCTCAAAATATCTCAATATAATGTCTGAATTCGTGAGAATGCAAACCAGAGCTGGGCACGAACCGTCGGTCTTTCATTCGTAAATAGTCCGTTATAGTCTATACCTGACATAACTTCACGTTTTAAACACACCATTGCTACAAAGACACTTAGTTATTAGCGCCATCTAGTTCGTGCGAGAAAAAATCTTCACATTTCACACACGTTCTATTGAGTTACTTCACTATGCAATACAGTGAGGGCGCCAGTTATACGTGTTTTGCAGCAACCCAGTGGTTTTAAATGATGAAATAAATATAGAAAGAAAACAAAAAAGAAAAAAAAAAGTATACGAACGACCGATAATAGTCGATTGTTGATGTTTGTGCCCAGCTTTGATGCAAACTAACATTAGTTTTCAATTTGGCTCTTCTTATTAAAAAGAAAATGCTGTTGTTTGTTAAAATAAAAAGAAAGCATACAGTTGCTCCGATGCAGATTCGATTGGTTCTCACAAGGAGGCGTTTAAGCTGGTTTTGAAATTTCCATGCGACACTAGTTTTGATGCAGCTGTTGAAACGTAGAACGATGACCGGACCGACATTGTATAGCTGCCACATTTCAGGTATCGCATTCTAGAAAATAACACGCGCCATTCCAATAAAGTGTATATTTTCTTTCAATTCACCATGTTTGCACAAGATTTTTTTCTTTTTTTGCATATTAATTGATTCTCATCTTTCTCGTTCTGTTGTTTCAACAGTTACTCTTGGTATAACAACAAATCATTGCAGATTCTCCGCAGAAACCAGTTGTGGTGTGTGTGTGAATGTGTGTGATTTGCAACAAGTTCTTGGTCATCAGAAAAAGAACGAAACAGAAAATAAAACAGGCTCAAACATGCATAGAATGTTCACTGGTTTGCATTGGTCTCGTTTAACCGACAATTAGTATGCACTTGCATTTCAAACACACGACATGGAACGTCTAGCATTTTCATACACACTTTTAGTAGTATTTAGTGTTGTTTTCAATAATTTTCAACCTTGCCAGACATTCCCAGAAGACGCACAAATTCAAAGTACGGTGCAACAGGTATGGTTCAAATATGCACATACTAAGTAATCAATTTTAATTGAAATGTTTGCATAATTAAATAGGACGTTGGTTCATTGGGCAGTCGATTTGATACGGATGAACCAGCGGCAAATAGAGACGTGAACCAGGAAATTGATGTAAAAAAATGTGGTATACCAAATCAAATGGGCTTAAATAAATATGGATTGGAATTTTTGTCATCGGCACACTCAAAAGCAGGTAAATGTGAGATCAAAAATGCATGCGACCACAAAAAAAATCCAATAACAAATTGTTGATTCAAAGATTTATAATTATATTGACTGTAATTTGTGGCGTAATTGCAATAAATTAATGATTAATCAATGCGATCAATTATTTAAAATGAAAAATAAATAAATGCAAAATGTTTATTTATTTTTTTAGGAGAATTTCCATGGACTGTAGCAATTCTGCGAAAGTTAAATCGTGACTCACGAAGAGAAACGCTTCTATATTCCGGAGCCGGGGCTTTAATACACCCATCGGTAATTATTTAAAATAAAATGTGTGAAACGACGAGCTAGATGTTGCATGCATTTAATAACATTACATTTATTGATAACAACTAGGTTGTGCTAACGGCTGCAAACAAACATCATGCAACCAAGATGGACCTAATACGTGCTGGTGAATGGGATTTTTCCTCCTCCGACGAAGAGCACCCATATCAGGACCGATCAATCGAGAGTGTACAAAATATTGACGAAAACGATGCGGATTCAGTGCAACTGATATTTGTAACGGAGCCATTTGTTCTAACAAACAATGTACAAACTATGCTTCTTATTTTTTCATTATTTCCATGACTGATTCATTTCCATTCTTTTCTTTGTGATTAATCCTAGGTACGAACAGTGTGTTTACCATTTCCAGTAGCACCAGCATCACCGTCGACAACTGTGGCATCAACGACCGTCATACCAGATACACGTGAATGTACCACGGCAGCATGGGGACAACAGAATTGTAGCGGTTTAAAAGGATTGCATTCGATTTTGGGCCGTCAATCGATATCAACGGACAATAAACGGCCCAATGCGTGTGAAGCTGATTGGCAGCAATACCTTGAAGATAACACATTCAAATTGAAAAGCAATCAATTTTGCACAAAACGAAAGCACAACATCGATGATTCGTGTTTCTGTGATCATGGTGCGGCTCTCTTCTGCGCAATACAGCCAGCCGGTGAAGCGATTCGCTACGAACAAATCGGTGTATCCATCGCGTCCGGTGGTTGCACAAAAGATTTACCAGGTTAATCGCTTGTTTCTATTCAAATCTATATATTGTTTTATTCAACGTGACGTGTATTTCTTTAATAAATATTTGTAGGCATTTTCTCAAGCGTTGCAGAACAAAGAGCAGCTATCGATGGAATATTCAACGAAAAAGGCTTGGATACATCATATTATACAGCATAAATGAAACTCATCATTACGTCTTAAGTCTCAGTTTTCTTTTTAGCGACGCAACAACAAAAAAATACATAGAAAGTCTTATTTGTGACACATTTCAATAGGATTAACTTTAATTCTAGCGCATTAGTACGTTGCCTAGTTCAATTTGTGTAAATCATTTCGTTGAATGGCTAAAGGAAATGATTTGAATCAGAGCGGCGCACCGGCAGTTTGAATACATGCAACAACATTGTAATCATATTTCATCAAGTTTATTGCGAGATTATGGAGAATCACAAATCAGCAGCGCTTCAAAGCATCAGAATATAAAATAACAGAGAAAATAACAATTTTCCCCTTTCCAACTGACATCGACGCTTTTATGTGGTATTTTTTGTCATATTATTTGATTAAATATTCATGCAATAAATTTCATTTAAAGCGACAGAAAAAAAGGTCAATTTTTTCATCATTCTAAATGAAAAACAACGAGAAAAAAAACAGTAAATGGATTCTGTTGACAGTCATACATTTGAAACAAATTAAAACTTATACAAGAGTGTCAATGCATAATTCATTCGCATAAGCTGATTCACAATTAGTTCATTAAAATTAAGCTCACATTTTAAATAAATTCATTAAATCGAATGAAAACACTAGTATGATTTATTAATTTCGAAAGTTTGCTATTTATTTATCGGCAACATTTTCGCATGGTCAACATTAAAACATATTTTACTTCACTTCCATAAAAGGAATTGCTTAAGGCACATGATATATTTTTGTCGGAAATTGTCGAATTTATTGTACTTCTTAATTTGTTGTAAAAGCATTTTATGCAACGAGAAATAAAATACACCAACACAAAGAGGGAGAATGTGTTTGAGAGAGAGAGAATCAAAAGACAATGTTTGACAAATAAATCCAAGCATCTTTCCGGCGTTCAAACATTCGGCTCTAGATAATTCGACAGTATAACTGACAGTAAGGACATGTTATTTATTATTTAGGAAGGAGTTTCAGGCTCATAAAGTGAACACGTGAGATGAATTAAGCTTGGTAACTGCTAATGGCGCATGGTCTGCGCACATGTACACCAGAACAAGAAGAAAAAATCACCTTAATACCTTTAATTTGCGTCGTGTTATGACCATATTATTTATTAATCGCGTTTGCATTCAGCTCATATCTCTTTCTCTCGTAAACACATTATATACCATCAGTAAAACGAAATTATCCGGCCTGTCGACTGACATATTGATCGACTCATTCCATTTTGGCTCGTACGATGATGCATGCGTGTAATACAGTTTGGCGTTTTAAATATTTGGAAAACATATTCGTCAGTCTTGAACCATATATTTCCCTATTTACACATAAATTGTTTTCATTTGTCTATGACGTTAAAACACATATACAATATGAAGAACATTTTGTTAAAACAAAAACAATTTCCGTTTCACTTTACACAGAAGAGAAAAACGGAAAACAACCCGATTCGGATTGACTGTTTACTTTATGAAATTACAAATATAGATTAATTATCATAATAAATGATTTCAATGTTGCAAAATGATCATTCAACCGTGTACTTAATTATAGTAGGTCAAACGATTATGTGGAATTTTTATGAGTGAAAAACACAATAAAAACTCATCATTTTATGACACAATTTATTCTATCATTTCCTAAGAGAAATAAAAAAAAATACGTTATTAATAGAGTTAGAAATGAGGTGAATTCTAAAAATATGCTGGGTCACAGTTTGTAAACTAGTTGTTGTGTCATTAAGTAAAGAAAAAAAATCTTTTGAAAATTACGAAAATAAAATAAAATTGACTCTTATCAATTTGTGGAAATTATACAAATATTATAAACAAAAACACTTTCCTTATTTTTATTTTAAATTACGTTGTGTAATCTCTAATGATAATCCGCATGTGGTGTTCGGATAGGGCTAGTTAGAATGGGATTGAAATTTTGGATTTAAAAGGATTTATCAATATTTGAATTATATAAATTGATTCGATTAAATATAAGCAATTAGAGATTATCCACAACATATTGAAAACAAAATCAATTTACCAACAAAAATTCAGGCTCATATTGAAATTATAAAATAAATCAAAACCTAATTGCAGCACGAATTTTTCCTTGAATCAAATCACCAAAGTTAAATTAGAGAAAGAATACTGAGAGAGTTCAAGGAACCTATTAAAGTTTTAATGAAAAATGTAAATATTGTTTATGCCAAATGGAAGGCGGAAGAGACAGGGGTCAATTTCCTATTTTAAAGAAACAATGGTGAGATGCATATTTTCAAATTGATCAATATCGGCAAAACCAATTAGAGGTTTGGTAATAATATAATGTGTTTGACTATTTACACGAAAAATCAATCACACCATATGTGTTATAAGATACGTATGACCGAACATTTTGCGTAAAATGATTTCATTACCAGTACTAGTTCAACGAATCATTCAATGCTGTGCACTTGAATTTCTACATAAATCGATTTTACTTTTCTTGTCGACTATCGACATCAAGACGTCGGACTCACCTTCAAAATTGTACAATTTCTTCTGTCGACCAAAAAGCATTTCAAGAACATTACGTATGTAAACAACGCATATATGTTACCATGCCATTATCCAAATAGATGAATTTAGCTTGAATTTCATTCCGAGTTGCGTTGGTGCGCAATTCAATTTTTACCTTATGAAATGAATGATATTTTTTCGCAGAATGTATTGAAATGTATTGATAAAAAAAGCATTTTTTGAGCTTCATGCTTAAAATGGCTAAATAATGGAAATTGAAAGAAAAAATCTCATCGAAAATAATTGCAAAAAACGTATTATTTCCAAAAAGCTTAAAGATTAAACTGCAATAACAATGGGTTTTTTCGAATATATTGCGCATTTATGTGTTACAATTTCGTCAGAATGAATCATCACGTACGTTGATGCAATAGTTACAAAACTTATGAGATTTTGAAGCAAAAACACTTGAATGAAAATGAATATTGATACGCTGCTAGAGTCTTAGCATGAGTAGAGTGGGATTTTTATTTCTTCGAAATGTTATGACTGAAAAAAAAAAATCTGTTTTACGCGTAATTTTGTTTGGCGATAATTTTTGTTTCGACTTTTTTTGGATCATTCAATTAAAGTGTGTTTGACCTTTGTGAACGGAAAATCTGAAATTAGAAATCAAAATTTTGTGCTATTATTATACTAGTATATGGCCACATTCACTGTGCCAACGGATGTTTTTTTTTCATCATCTCGTAATTGTGTTGTTGTTGTTTGCACTGGATGACAGACCTTTGACTTTGCTTCGTTTATCAGCATCGAACATAAAAACGCTTGCAGTGTAAAAAGCTATATTGAAATCAATCTCGTTTTGCCAATGACAAGCAATAAATTGAGATAAATGATTTTTCATTTGCATCGTCGTCTTATCATCATCGCTATCAACAGCACATGATCTTTTAATAAAAAGACAAAATATTAATCAAAATGACACGAATTGAAAAAGGATAATACACAAGGTTATGCACAAAAAAATCAAGTCATGTGACACACCCTCTATTGATTGATGCATGGCAATCTATTCGAAATACATTTCAATTTTACTTTTTATTTGAAAATGTAAACAAACGTGTGTGGCGATGAAAAAAATCACTTTTTTCTTATATTACACTTACATCAAGATACAATACAATTATAATAAGTTAACTTTAACCGAAATCAAAATGAAAGATTTATATTGAATATATGTCTAGTCTCTACTAGTAGTGTCGAAATTATTCTGACTGAGAAAGTTTTATTAATTTGTGTTTGTTTTTTTTTCTCTTGGAATCGGTCGTACTCCGAAAAAGCGTGTTCACAATTTCTGTGACATTTATTCGGTCTCGTCTTGAGAATCGCAATTTTATTGATGACAATCATAAGAGTTTAAAATCAAGACTGGAGAAATTCGTTGGATACGTATACATATATGAAGAAACCGGAAAATAAACAAAACATACCAGTATACTAATTTAATTAACGCATTCAGCGAAAAAAAAATATCTGATAGACTCGACACAGTATGTTATCTTGAAATGTAAATAATCATGTGATTTTCTTCTGTGTATGAAATATATCAGCGGTTTTTTCTTTGCTCCATCCCGTTCAATTTGTTTTGTACAGTTTCTATTTGTTTCAATCAATATTTGATAACAATTTCAAATGTTAACTGTTATTAATGAGTTAGTTCACATCACGTGCCGAATTTTTGGCTTGAGCTAAACATGTTTGAATTGAAAATTGTCTCGCCATCGACGTAATAATGACGAAGATTTAACATTCGAAGCGCACGTTAACATAAAACAATTTTGAATGACCAATTTAATCTTTTAAAATCAAAATAATGTAATATATTATACAGGTTTTCTCATATATCAGGCTCACTATGAAAAAGAATTTCGGACCAATCGACCCCTCAAATCTTACAAAGGCGATTTTACACTTTTTTGGTTCAACATTTGTGAAAAAACGTGGATGAGAAAAATATTGATTCTGATGTAATTTTTCATGCTGATTTCGAATTTCGGGATTTCAGGTCAAAAAAATCACATCTTGGGGGTTTTTGATCCCCCGACCGCCTTAAGGGGTGGGGGAACTCGGAGGGCAGGGGTCCTAAAAAATTTCTCTCGTCATTCTGAACAATTTTGTAGTACATTATTTTTTGATCGGATGAAGTTTTGCAAAATTGGGGGCACCCTCACCCCCTCTGGGGAAAAATTCAAAATTCTGCTCAGATAGAAATTTTCAATTTTTTACCCCCAACATACCCCCTAAAGGGTTTTTAGAAATTTTCACTCCTTCATAGTGAGCCTGATATATGAGACACCCTGTATATAATAATATAATTTTTAAATGACATTTATCCTGTGACCTGTGATGATATAACATCAAATGACAACGAAAGGATTTATTGTGTATGCTGATTATTGGAATGATTATTAGTAATAATGACGAATGTTTCTACGCAGGAAATTCAAACACGCGCACTTAGATACATGATAATTATTTCGAAAATCGTAAATCATTTGACCGTCATAAATTCAAACGGGAAATTTATGAATAACGTAAATAAATCATATGGTAGCCAATTTTTAATCACATATCATTTAATTAGTAAGTCTATATTCGCATTGACTTGTTCTTCTATACACTTATGATATATAACCAAAGAAAACAATTGTTTGTCATTTGAATTATTAATAATTGGCAAATCTATATTTGACATGGACAGTACGTAATCATTGTTTATCGGTAGTATTTGATAAATCTCCAGAATCGAAACTAAGAATTATTTCCGATAATTTATGCAAGTTGATAAGTCTATATAACGAGATTCAACTGGTTCTCTTTTTTAAAGTTTAAAGTAGTATTTCTGAGCAGATTATAGTATAACTAGTGGTTGTGCTAACCACTATCGCTCAAAATAAATGCTTGAATGCGCTATTGTTGTTACTAGCATGTGCAAAACCACAGGTATTAAAAAAAATTTAGTCGCCACTGGTTTATAGTTATTTTAAATTGTGTTTTTTCGTGTTGTTTG